TAAAACATGTACATGTGCAGGTTTTAATCTGACTCATCAGAAGTTTACAGTTATTGTTAAATTTGGCATTTTTCAAACATTGGGTCAGGGTCTAAAAGTGTTTCCCGAGGCAATATTTTTTGGGTCACTGGACTAGGCACTACAGCTTTTACTAGTTTGTTCATTTCCAGGTATTCTCTCCTCAGACTGAGTATTTTTAAAAATGCCAAAAACTTCCTCGAGACGTGTTTTTTTTTTTTTTTTTTTGGAAAATACTATTTTTGTGGCGAGATATTTGAAGGATACTCCGAGTGAGCAGGTTCAAGATTCAGTTTGGAGTGAGGATTAAAATTAGGGTCAGATTAGGGTTAAGGTAACGATTAAAATAGGGCAAAAATGTCCAATGTTAAGGTAAAGGGCTTCCAAATGCATCATGTCAAGGTGATGTACTCACAAAACACAAACATCAGTGTGTAGTAGCAGAGTTTGACAAAGTAGTAGACATTAGTACTAGCCTTTACTCATTACACATTAGTACTCAACAAGAGTTGGTGCTTGTTTCTTTAAATAGAAACCGATTCAGAACGGTGAAACACAGCCAAAGACCAAACGTAAAAACCGATTATGACGAAGGACGTTTGTCATACATTCAACAGCTTTTTCTTTCGAAGACGACAAAACTACTAACAAGCTTCTCTGAAGTCAAAATCAATTCTTGTCACAACTAAAACAAGAAAAGAACTTCATTTAAACAGGAAAACTTCAAACAAAGTTAGCAAACGCACAGCTATTGGTCTAATTGCTAAAACATGGCAGACTGGCAGAGCCACATGCTATCGTAGCTGCGGGCGGCCATTTTGGTTCCTTATAAATCAGGTGGTCTTAATGAGCAGCCAATCCCCTGCTGGAGATGGAAGTTTCCACCAATCACCATCTGGATTTCATGTTGATTTATTTTCAATGACCACTCCCCCACCCATTACACACACACACACACACACACACTCACAGTGCACACCTGCGCTGCATTAATATAATTATAGTGGCTACAGATGGAGGGAACTTTAAGGGAAGTTAAAAGGGTTATTTTTACACTTTTGTTTTTAATTATTGTGTTGTATTGTAGTTTTCCCACTTATTATTAATGTCAGTATTTGTATGACAAACGCTAAAGTCCAGAGCAGTACACATGCATGAGATGATGTGTGTTTTATTTATGTATAACTGCGATGTTTTAAGTAGGTATAGATACTGGTTGGCTGTGGACAAAAAACAAACAAAAAAAAAAAAAACAGTTGTGTTGTTTTGTTTCAAAATTCCCTCTCATTAAAAACTAGGAATAAGAAATAAGAAAATAATCGTTGATGTATTAATTTAAGAAATATCTCTTTGTTTAAAACTTTTTAAAATATATAGCTATTTTGAATGCACTTATTATAAAGGCTATTTAAACAAAATGTCTCAAAATCAAATTTAGTTTCTAATAGAACAGAAATGTGGTATTAAGATGAGCTGAAACTAAATAAATAAATTAGATTAGATTACGGTAGACTTATAATTCCCAGGTCAGAGCAAAAATTCACAGCAGCAAGGTTGACACATGGCAAAAGAACGTTAAAACACCACATTCAGAGGTAACGGGAATTGCAGACAGTGATCAATAAAGTCGCACAGTTACTTGCTATGGCAGCGATGTATTTGTTAATTACAACAGAGTAAACAACTCCCCTTCGCGCTGTGCGTCCTGTGAAGTCTTGGTTTGGTCACATCACAGTTCTGCGTCTGGTGGATGATGTTTGGGGCCGAGTAAACTGTGCCTGATTAGAGACGTCTTCCTCTTAGGTGTGGCTTATTTGTATGGGCTGCTGATGTTGTTGGGTTAGCGAAGCTGTGTTTGACTCTGGAGGTTTTGGTCGTCGAAAGTGGCTTCACTTCCTGTCCTCATCCCCAGCGCCTTGGTTTCTGCCCAGCTCACTGTGCCGCGGTGGAGAAGACTTGTTTGGTTTGCCATCTGATTTATGGCCTTGGGGTTTTTTAATTTTGCGCTGTGCCATCCCTCTCAAACCCAGCACCACAAATTACACCGGGGACCAGGCTCCCTTAGAGTTTCTCACAAAATATTGACCTAAAATAGCACAATGCCACAACACCTGTGTCAACACGACGGACGCAGGAGCTCTCACCATCACAGTCAATCCCTGAACATGTGCCTTTTTCACATATACACGTCATACTGTATGTGTACTGTATGTTTCCTAAGCAGATGTTGGATTCTGGGTTGTGCAGGTTTACATGCCTCTGTGTCCTTTGGCATATAGAGTCTTACTATTAGTGAAGGCTTCAGACCAGCGGTCCCTAAACTTTTCTGTGCCAAAGACCGGTTGGCGGGTAATACCTAGCAATATTTGAAGGATCATTAAATTTCAAAAGACTCTGAATTAACTGTTCTTTTGAAACATTACCAGACTGAAAAAGTAAAGGGATATGACCGGATTCTTTTTGATTGAAGTAAATTAGTAAGTACATTTCTTCACCGTCTCCCGCTGCGGCCTGGTACTGCACCGGGGTTTGGGAACCTGTGAGTATAATAGTCAACGACACCAACTGCCTGTTTACTGCCATCAGCTGGTACAAAACTGATTTTACATTAATACTTATTAATACTTATTAATGATATTAAGATTTTAGTTAGCAACACAACACAAATACAAGAAATCACAATCAGTATTACAAATAGAAAATAATGACTCTCGTAAAAGGTGAGACCGAAACATACACACTGACAGAAACACATTGTGCTACTAATACACTTGTTGCCAAAACTCTCTTCTAATACACACCTGCCACTGGGCTTACACAGTACAAACTGCTTATAGTATTTTCACTGTCACACTTACTCTTTTAGACTTTGTGGCCACTGGATTACTATCCTCACCCTGGCGAGACTGACAGGTGTGTGTGTGTGTGTGCTAGGTTGTCTGGAGTCCTCCCTCTTGGTATTTATTAGTTCTGGACAGCTGAGGTGTTCACTGAGATCTCTATTTAGCACTTCCGTCTAATTATCATACACAGATCAGAAGCTAGCGCTGGATATGTGCTAATAAACCTGGACCGCCCACTGCATTTAAGTGCTGGCTAAGTTTGCATACCAAATCCCCCTGGTGGCCTGCGGGCTTAAATAGGTCCCTGCTGCCCTTTTAACACTTGTGCTACTACATGACAGGCCTTGAGAGCTGTTTGAGTCAAACGGCGGCGCTTTCGTTTGTAGCTTTCCCACACACCGTTGGAACACTTGTCACATGAACAGCAGCAGTGGAATAGACTCTACCCGACACTGACGTTCGTGTCACAGAAGAGTGGAGGAAAGTCACACAAAATGGCTTAAGACAGTCAAGTTATGTAAACACATGGGTATGGTGTTCTTACTAGTACTAGTTAGAACCTGCACTGATGTGAGTGAGCCGAAATAACACGGTTTTCCCATCCCCTTATACTGTGACACTTGGTGAAAGATGTCAACTCAATCGGATTTTCTCACAGAAAACATCACAGTTTGACACAAATTGATCAGCTTTAGGTTTAGGACTGTTTATCTGTTATTGTTTTTTAATAATTTAGTTTGACACAAATTGATCAGCTTTAGGACTGTTTGTGTTATTGTTTTTTAATAATTCAGTTGTTTTCAGAAGAGAGGAGAGTGTTTATGCGCATGTTTTTAAAAGTTTTGTGCATTTTATAGACTAGAAAGTTAAATGATCAAAATCATTGATTGCCTATAACAGTGGTCTTCAAATTGTGGTACGCACACTCTCTAGTGGTACGTGGCGAAAATTCATATTTTCCCATTTACATTTTCAATTGAATAAATCTGAAACATACCATGCACAATAAATACAACAGTTAAACATAAACATCTTTATAACCATCTCTCCTGTGGTGGAAGCTAACAGTGAAGGCCTACGCTGCTGTATTCTAATGTTGGTCATCATGGTGGTACTCAGAGAGATCAATGTTTTCTCAGGTGGTACAGAGTAGAAAAAGTTTGAGAACCACTGCTAAGAGGTAAGAGTTTGCTAAGGTAAAGACTTAAAGTTGCAGCTTCCAAAATATATATTTTTTTATTTTTCCTCTAAATGTGATTCTAACTTACAGAATTAAAGTCATGTTTTGTTGAATACCTGAAAAACTATCATTAACCGTCACTGACTGTCATTAAAACTGTTAATTCTTACGCTAAAAATTACTTGTGCCTGAGACAAAAACAGTACCATTTACTTGAAAACGTCACTCTGCAACAATATCTTGCAGTCCAACGACTGTCCGTTTCTTATCCGCGGTCTATTGTTCTTTTTAACGTTGTACGAGTTACAACAGTGAGTCTCTGTTGTGTCTACAGAATGCTTATTTAAACACCGCAGGATGACAATACCATAATAACTGATCACTCACTGTGAATCTGCAGCCTGGGGTTAAAGTTTACATTTTAAAATCTGGTCCAGCAGCTTGCTGTTCCAGCCTAAGAGGGGTGGGGGGTCAGGAATGTGCACGACATATGTTCATGATACTCACGGATTTGGTGTTTTATCTGTGCAAATAGAGTTTCCACTGCTCATGTTTCTATACAAATGTGGCAGCAGAAGGCGGAGACCTGGATGTGAGTGTGTGTACAGTGTGTGTACAGTATGTGTACTGTGTGTTTGGTAAAATCTCTACAACTTTACAGGGTTTTATTATCTACCACTCAGTTTCAACTGTTTTTTTTTTTTATATTCCGTTTTATTTGATAATGGGTGTTGTAGCTTATAATAATAACTGTTTACAATGAACTGTGACTCAGGCGTTTCACAGTGGGCTTATATGTTCTGTTTATTTATTTTGGTGCTTGGCCTTGTTATTAACATCCCACACGTTCTCTTTTCCCAAGCCGCAATTGTTTTTGTCTATTTTGCTTTTCTTTGGTTGGCTCTGTTTGGATTTCCATCACTGCGTCGTTCTAATGTGTCCGTGTCTCTGTGCCTCAGGTCCAGGGTGTAAGGGAGAGCAGCAGGTCTGGGAGCACAAATGCCAGTGGACATGCAGCCACACCAGGGGCTGTACCACTATGAGACCTCACCCAGTCAACCCTCCAGAGGGTAAGACAGCAGTTTGTGGGATGTATGATTTTAAACGGCAACTTTCATTTACTAGAGAGTCTCGAGTCAGCTACTTGAAAAAAAAGTTGATTAACGAAATACAATTTTTAGTTTTAAGGAAGAATTAAGTCTTTCTAAGGGTGTAGTGCAGGGATCTTAAACTCAAAAAAGCTGAGGGCTAATGTCCTTCCAATGGAGGGCCAAAATCAGTGTTCAAAAAGTAGTTTTGATTTCATAAAAATAATGTGTATTGTCACAGTGCCAACATCTGGTACAAATGTTTTTTCTTTACATTCTTAAATTAGTCAATAAAGCATTGAAAAATAAAAAAACTTCCAACCAAAATTAATTATTTATTGACATTCGTCCCAAGCCAGATGTTTGTGGAGGTGGCCCCTTGGCTTTCATCATCTTTGGTCAACTAAGTTTGTTTTAAAAATTGCTTTATAAATAAACTTTTGGAGTGAAGTACTTTTTATGTAATGTTGAAACTTCTTATTATTTCTAATTATAAATTGCTTAGTATTACTCATGTTTTTTGGGGGGGGGGGGTTGCATGTAAGGTCGTTGTGTTTATTTTGTAAGTGCATTGTGGGCGTATTTTCACCAAATGTCTTACTGTCATTCAAGGCTGGATCAGTTGAGACTCACTGTTAAAACTGTCCATATAAGTTGAAAAATTATAGAAATGAAAAGAAAGAAATATTTACCTCTAGCATATCCTTAAACATTTTTTTTTCTCTTGTTGCCTGTATATAAACCAAGACATGACACATTCTTCCCTTTCCCTTTGACTGATGCTCCTTTAATATCCAGTCTTGACACTCAAACCTGTTAGCGGTCAACCTCCCAAAATGTGACTTGTACGGACTTTCCTTTACCTTACTTTCCTACGGAAGTTTCCTTTGTCTGACCAAACATTTTTGGAGTGTTTCCCAGGCATCAGTTTCCAAAAGTTTTCAATGAAAAGACCCAAAAAATATTTTCCTTTTGACTGGTAAATTATTGTTAATCACTGATTACTGATTTACCACACAAAGAAGCTATGAATGCAGTGTAATAATGTCACTTACATAATGACAGGACTTGTGAACTCACACTTTAAAAGAAGGAAAGAAGTACATTTTCCAGTATACTGAGTTGAATACTCAGCAAACACCCTGAAGCCTTTGCAGCTCCTCTCTAAACGATCACAACGTCTCTTCACTTGAAGGGACAAGAAACTGTTCCCAGTTCACCACAGGGACATTATGAGGCCGCAGAAGCAATTGTTGTGGACTCACAGTGTTGGAGCTCAGCCCTTCACTGCACTCACCCCCACTCCCTCCCTTCCTCATGCCACCCAGGTTGCGGGTGGACTCGGCCTCTCTGACAGCTGCTAATTACAGGCTGACCAGGCCCTGTTGCGCTCTGCATGACTGCCTCGCTCCCCACTCAGGTTACCCAGAGTCAGGGAGAGACAACGAAAGAGGGAGAGAAAGGTGGTTGTGGTGGACAGAGGAAAAAAGAAGAGTAGGAGGAAGAGGAGGGGGAGGAGGAGGAAGCGGGAGAAAGAAATGACAGAGATGATCATAGAGAGAGAGAAAGAGAAGGAGGAGGGAGAAACAAGAGTAGGATCCAAAAAGGAGGGATGAATGAATGGGAGAAGAGAAAAGGAGAAAGGATTGAGAACTGGAGGGAAGCAAATTTGGGGGGAGAGCACGGTGGATTAGAGAGGACAGATTAGGCTGCTGTGCGGAATACGCGTCGTGTTGACAGAATTAAAAAACTGAAAGGAGGAGGTAGGCGGATAAAATTTGCCTGTTTAAAAGAGAGGAGTAAGAGAAGCAGGGAGAAAGAGGGGCTTTTCAGCTCAGCAGTTAAAGCGAGGGTAGGTCCGGGTAATACATTGAAATTCATGACAAGACTGGAAAGTTCCAATCCAGCTTTGATTTGACTTCGGAGTCGGAGGGGAAAACCGAGATGAGTAAGTTTCCACGGTGGAGACAAACATAAGGTCTGCACACCCTCTAGTGGTGAAGAAAACTCATCACAGCAGGTTACAACAGTAAAATACAGTTGTGTAAGAAATAAAGTTAGGTGTTAGCAACATCTAAGCAACAATCCAATTTTACAAACGTCACGTTGTTAGTTTATTTGTCCGTAGTAGTTCAAAATGTAAAGAGCAAATTAGGGCCCACACTGTGAACCAGTGGTTAATGGTTTTGCCTTACAGTCAAAAGATCATTGTAACTGATGGTCTTTCTGGAACTCTACATGTGGTATGTTGCAGGTACTACAGCTTTTATCCTTGAGCCTAAAAAGACTGTTTAAACTTTCACCGCTTAGCTGTGGTTTGATAACAAATAATTGTGATTAATCGAGATTATTCAACATTCCCAATTATTACTTTTTTTTTTCCTTTATGCTGTTGGAACAGAAATACCAGCAGGTAGATGTGTGTTTTTGTTTACGAATGATCCAAATGATGGAATTATTTACCTGGAGCAAATGTCAAGATAAAAATATAACGATTATAATAATACATTTTGTTTTTCAGTCTACTGCCATCAGACCAGTCTCCTTACAGCGATGCATCTTCTCTGCGAGTTCCACTCCTCAACGGCCCTCCCCAGGACTGTCGGTCTATGTATAATCCCATGACTCCTGGCATGACTCATGGATCAGGACCAGGACAGGGGATGGGTCACAGCATGGATCAATATATGAGACCACCTCAGGCCCCACCGCCCCACAGTATGATGGGCCATAGAGGCATACCGCCCACGGAGAGTGAGTCAGACTCTCTTTTTTTTTCACGGCTGCTGTGATGTAAAGACGCGTCACAGACTGAAAATAGATTTCAAACAACCATAGAAAGGTTTGATGGCCGAGACATGAACAAATGCTTAACTTCACAACAATCCAGCTATGGACTACCCTTCTGCCTTTGTTTTAGGTAGCTCATAATTCCGTTGAATCTTACGTTTCTGTGTGTATTTGTAGCATCAAAGGGAAAGGGCCAGTCTACAGAGTAAAATGATCAAAGTGTTTCATAATTCTGCTCCTTGATCAAATCGCGTTTCAGTTGACTCTCAGATTTTACTTCAACGTAAAAGAAAAGGGGTTTCAAACACGTGCCTACTGGAACAGTAACTTAGCAACCATGTCTCTGCCTCATGACCTGAGAGAAGTTAACATTCTCTACTTCTGTCTAACAGGTGGCAACAGCACCCCCTACTGTAACCAGAGCAACATGATGTCGTCACATCCTAACTTCTGTCAGGTTCAGCCTGGCTCTGAACAGATGGGTGATGGTAAAAACAAACTCAGTCTCTAATTTAATATTTGATCAAAATATCACGTATCACTTAAGCTAATGTCTTCCTCTTGTGCTGTAGGTTCGAGGTTCTCAACACCTCGCTCCATGCTGAAGCTGAGCAAAAAGAGAGCTCTGTCCATCTCTCCTCTGTCTGACGCCAGCATTGACCTGCAGACAGTGATCCGTACGTCACCTAACTCCTTGGTGGCCTTTGTCAACGCACGTTGCAACCCCAACGGTGCCAGCTCTTATGGCCACCTCTCAGTGAGCGCCATGAGGTTAGATATTTCTTTTGTTGGACCAAATCCCTTTGAACACACACTATATTATATCCTTTTTATATCGATGTTCCTGTTATTTCACAGTCCATCCCTGAGTTATTCCAGCAACATGAACTGCCAGTCTCGGCAACAGGCTGCCATGTACAGTGGAGGTGTGGGGACACCTATGGGTGGACATACGCCAGGTCCTTGCCAAGCTTCACGCTTACCTCCACACAACCCTAGGCTCCTTGCTCCACCCAAGCATGGACATGTAAGTGAGCTTTGCTTTACCCAGTTTTATATTTTGAAAACATTTTCCCAATATTATTAATGTGTGACTGAACAAATGTTAACTGATTACATTCATTTAAACCAAATGGAAAATATACTTATTACATTGTATTGCTTTTACTGTGAAGCTGAAAACAGAACCAGGGCTGGGCAGTGTGATGGACGGCATGAATATAAAGACTCTGGAGGAGAGGTCAGAAGGAGATGTGGCGAGTCCTTCCTCCACTGGAACACAGGTACAACGTCAACCATGAGCAGTTTTTTCCTTATATTTGTCCAAATGCGAAGGTGCCACATATAGGGAGCGGTTTTCTTCACCTGTTTCCTTATTTTACAAAATCCGACCGTAAATACAGGCGATGGTCATTTACCGCCTAGATTACTGCAATGTCCTTCAGGTCTACCTGCCTGCTCAACAAAACTCCTACAAAAGTCCAGAACGTGGTGGTACATCTTGTTTTTAACCAACCCAAAAGGGCACATGTAACTCCTCTGCTCATTGATCTATACTGGCTGCGAGTCACTGCGCGGATCAATCACAAGTCATGTGACTTTTGCTTATAAAGTAACTGCAGGGAGCGTTTCTGCACATCTAAACTCATTGATTACGGCTTACACACCCACTCGGATGCTGCCCTCATCACAATATTACATTGTATTGCTTTTACTGTGAAGCTGAAAACAGAACCAGGGCTGGGCAGTGTGATGGACGGCATGAATATAAAGACTCTGGAGGAGAGGTCAGAAGGAGATGTGGCGAGTCCTTCCTCCACTGGAACACAGGTACAACGTCAACCATGAGCAGTTTTTTCCTTATATTTGTCCAAGTGCGAAGGTGCCACATATAGGGAGAGGTTTTCTTCACCTGTTTGCACCACTTCTTACTCTATGACCTACTATCCTTATGACATATGTATGACATATTCTTAATTAATTTAATTTAATTAATTAATAGTATATTTCTTGGGGGCTAGAACGAATAAATTGGTTTTTAGTTATTTTTAATGGGGAAAATACAATCTAGATAAGAGTGGATCGACACACGAGTGCTGTTGTGGAACAGATTAAACTCGTATCTTGACGCCCCACTGTATAAAAAAAGTTGTATCAGTCACCTTATCAGCCTTACAAATACAAACCTACACTCATGTGGAACAGATTAAACTCGTATCTTATCAGCCTTACAAATACAAACCTGCACTCCATAAAACTGGGCAGACGCAAGCCACATGTTCAATCTAAAGTTGAAGCCTCCACAAACACATGCTGGGAGTTAAGGTATTTTAAGCTTTGCGTGCTTTCGTAAAACAAATACTTTTTTCCTGCTATGTGTGTAAATTACCACATTTGTATTGGCAACAAACAAGTGGCTGGACAGTAGATTTGATACGCAGTGTACATTTTTCCACCAATGTGTAAATATGTGTTATAAATGTATTCATTTCACCAAATACCTAAAATGAATACTTAGCCATTTTGACAGCCCTACATCTATGCTAAATTGCTATAATGTGCAATTTCAGGACCCTCTTTTGGGTCTCTTGGACGGCAGAGACGACCTGGACAAAGAGGATGGCAAACAAGAGCAGGAGGCTGTCTACGAAACAAACTGTCACTGGGAAAACTGCAACAAGGAGTTTGACACGCAAGACCAGCTGGTTCATGTAGGTCATGAGCACTACACTGTAGTTGATGTGGGAAAAGGTTCATGTCTCTACCATTACCACTGTACATCACAATGTTTATATGTGTCTCCTGCTTCTCTGTTTACCATACAGCATATCAACAATGAGCACATCCACGGAGAGAAGAAGGAGTTTGTGTGTCACTGGCAGGAGTGCTCTCGAGAGCAGAGGCCCTTCAAAGCCCAGTACATGCTAGTGGTTCATATGCGAAGACACACAGGAGAAAAACCACACAAGTGCACAGTGAGTCTTTCTAGCTTTCAACAGATTACTAATAATAAGAAGGTAAAGTGCAAGATATAAAAAGAAGTTTGTTAATTTTGATTAAAACATGTAGAAGTTGAAAAACACCTGCTAGGGGACGTTCTCTTTACAGCAATCTAGCTAACAAAACCGTTATTATTGTTTCAGTTTGAAGGCTGTAACAAAGCATACTCACGCCTTGAGAACCTAAAGACCCACTTGCGCTCTCACACCGGGGAGAAACCATACGTGTGTGAACACGAAGGCTGCAACAAGGCTTTCTCTAACGCTTCAGACCGCGCCAAGCATCAGAACCGAACACACTCCAATGAGGTATAGTGGTCTACTTTGATGCAATTTGTATCGTGAACCCTTTAACATAAAGGGTATTCAAAAAGGAACTACATGGATTTATTTTTTTGACCAAATGTTTGTGTTGATGGCCTATTTTTATTCTTTTACAGAAACCGTATGTCTGCAAGATTCCGGGCTGCACAAAAAGGTACACAGATCCAAGCTCTCTGCGCAAGCATGTAAAGACAGTGCATGGCCCTGAAGCGCACATCACTAAAAAGCACCGGGGAGACACAGGACCTCGACCTCCAGGGTCAGCAGTGACGGCTGGAGGCCAAAACTCAGAGCTGCTGGTAGAGAAAGAGGAGACACGGCGAGAGGACTGTAAGCTCTTGGCTCCTGAGACCGCTCTGGTGAGAAGCATCCTGTATTTCTCGCTGTTCTTGGTATTTATTTCAAAACAAAAATGATAAACTTTGTTTACTAATACTGTATATATGTAACATCACATTACAGAAATCGCAACCAAGTCCTGGTGGTCAGTCATCTTGCAGCAGCGAACGTTCTCCACTCGGTAGTGCTAACAACAATGACAGTGGAGTGGAGATGAACCTAAATGCAACAGGCAGCTTAGAGGATCTCACAGCACTGGAGGATGGAGGTAGCGGAGGTGGAGGAGAACCAGGAAGTTTAGTAGGAGCAATGGGAATGTCAGCACAGGCACTAAAAAGGTTGGAGAATCTCAAGATTGACAAGCTAAAGCAAATCCGACGACCAACACCCCCAGGGCGATGTGCCAGCAACAAGCTGCCAGCACTCTCTGGTAATTTCCAAAAAGCAAAACACATGTTAAATTATTTTCTTTGGATGTTTTTTTAACAATGTATTCTCTTGGATTCCCCCTTTCAGGCACAGGAGACAATGCAGGAATGTGTGCCCCTTCTCCACTGCTTTCAAACCGACGCGTCATGGAGTTGTCTAACCATGAGTTAGGAGGTGGATCGAATATCGGCTGCTCCACTAATGACAGGAGAGGAAGTGGGACCAGCAGCTTAAGCTCTGCGTATACCGTCAGCCGTCGCTCTTCAATGGTGTCTCCTTACCTGTCCAGCAGGCGCTCCAGTGATGTCTCACAAATGGGAGGAACGGGAGGAGGCCAGTGTCACCTTCTTGGCCCTGATCAGAGTAGTGGAGATGCTCTCTCTCCTGAGACCAATCGGAGAGGGGCTCCCTGTCCTGGTGGTGGAGGTTTGCCAGGACTTCCAAATTTAACACCTGCTCAACAATACAGCCTAAAGGCAAAATATGCTGCAGCAACTGGTGGGCCACCACCTACTCCATTACCAAACATGGAGCAACCAGGAACTCCAGGGAGAAGAGGAGGAATTTTGAGTGAGTACCAGGGTCAGCCACTGCCTCCTTTTATTCAACAAGGCGGTCCACGTAGACACAGTGCCAACACCGAGTATGGCACAGGTGTTATCTTTCCTCACCAGGCTCCAGGTAACAACAGCAGGCGAGCCAGCGACCCTGTTCGGTCTGCAGCAGATCCACAAGCTCTCCCGAAGCGCTATAACAGCCTTAACAATGTGTCGCTAATGAGCAGAAGAAACGCTCTGCAACATCGTGGTTCTGACACAAGTCTTTCTCGCCACATGTATTCCCCTCGCCCTCCCAGCATCACTGAAAATGTAATGATGGAATCCATGGGTATGGAGGCCCACCATGGCCCTACTGACAGCAGGGGTCGTGCCATGATGATGCCCCCTGGTGAAAGGAGCTTTATGGGATACCAGCAACAGCATCAAAGCCTTGGAGGAGTTGGAAGTGGAGGCCCTCCTCTGAACCAATTGTCACCAGGCCATGACTCTTTGGGCTGTCTGGACCAGGGCTACATGCAAGGGCACTACCGCAATCAGGCAAGAGAAGTCTCCTCTAGAGGTGGTGGAAGCCATCCAGAAGGCACTTCCAACACACTTCTCCAGCAGGCTGAGTACAGTATGAGCACTTGCCAGCTCAGTCCTTCACGTCCTCCATATCCCAGCATAGGTCAGAGTAGTGACACAGGAACTCCATGGAATGATCCACACGGCCATGTTCAGACATCTAACCCTGCTCTCCAGAACCAGCAAGCAATACACTATTCGGAACCCGCCCTTCAGCCTCAGCAAGCACAAGCTCAATTCAGTAACCAGACTGCTCTCTATAACAGTCCTGATGGAACCCACAAACTAACCATCAAACCTGAACAACAATTCCACTCTGGCATGGGGGGAAAAGATTCTTGTCAAAATCCCAAACTTCAACAGCAGCAGATGCTCCTCCAGCAGAATCAGGCTTACCCACAGCAAACAGGCCAGGTCATGATGAGGAATTCCAACAATCCTGTTTGCGACTTTCAAGGTCAGAACCAAAACTCTTACCAAAACAGAGGTGGTATGAGTTTGGGTTGCGCTGGAACTGCTCTGACAGATGTGCAGAGATCGGAAACCCCGATGATGCAGGTGAAGGAGATGATGGTCAGGAACTATGTGCAGTCCCAGCAAGCACTCATGTGGGAGCAGCAGCAGCAAGAACAGCAGCAACATTTGCAGCAGAGTGGGATCAAAGCTCCTCCTCTCTCTGACAGTATAGACATGAATGGCCAAACAGCAATGCAGCTCAGTCCACAGCACCAAAACCAGAACATGTATTCCAACCAGTCCTATCATTCCTACACCAACCAGAACCTGGTTATGAGTCCTCCAGCCCACAGCCAAGGGTCAACCTCTGTGACATGTAAGGACCAACAGCTGACTGGACTATCGGGTTCTTGCTACAACCAGGACATGGTGGTACCAAGACCTCCACAAGGAAGAAAACCTCTCAGTCGCCAGAACAGCCTGTCCCAGGTAGGAGGAAGTTACCTGGGCAGCCCACCTCACCTCAGCCCTGTACACTCTACTTCCAGCCCCAGACGAGGGGTCAGACTTCCTCCAGTCCAGCATCCACAGCACCCGCAAAATGAAATGCTCTCCCCTTCAAATAATAACAACATTTACTACTCAGGTCAGATCAACATGGAAATCGGAAAACACATCGACCCCCAAAATGGGCCATGTATCAACCAGCAGCATAACATGGTGTCCAACATAGGTCCCACTGGTGGAATCAGATCTGCTCCCTTGGTACCCTATGCAGAGTCTGGACCTATCTCCAATGATTTGGAAAACCTTGACCTGGACAATACTCGGATAGACTTTACCTCCATCATTGATGATGCTGAGTCCTCCTCCTTCAGCCCAGTCAACAATCGTCAGCCAGGATCTGTCTCGCAGGCTTCATCTCGCCTCACTACCCCTCAGACTTCTGTCAGCCTGGCTGCAGGCTCCAGTTTGACAAACATGGCTGTTGGGGACATGACATCAATGTTGACCTCATTGGCTGGGGAGAATAAGTACCTGAACACACTGTCTTAGAAGAAGATTTTCATATAGAGTAGCAGACATTACAACTAACAACCAAACGGAGGCCTTAGCATGGTATGAATTTAGAAAACCTTTTCTCTTGTACAGTTGGTAAAAGGTGAGAGACTTTGACTACGGAAAGTATGTAAAGGATTGTGTTGTCCATCTCCAATGAACTGAATACATACCTAACATACCTTTATCTGCCAGGAGGCTGAATTAGCCATGTTGTCACTGTGTACTTAAGTGTACTATGTCTTGTGTTTTTCATTGGTTCCGGGCTGAGACCAAGTTACTGTGATGTGGTGCCATCGTGGACATCCAATATATATATTTTTTAATTATTCTCACCTTCAACCTTTAAACCAAAGGTGCCTAATCAGTTTACTTCTTTCTTGCTGTATTTCTCTGCCTCGGTACTTGGTCCTTTTTATGCCTGATACGAAATGAATGCGGAATGTTTTTCAAACAGGCATTCCAGTCACATAGCCCCGTGGCAATGTAAATAGGTTTTATATACACATTTACATGTTGTTAATACAAGCATGAGACTTTGGGGGAGCGCGGTCATCCTCTGTGTCGTGATAATTTGCTTGGATGCTGAAGGCCAATGTTCACATGGGAGTTCGTGATGGTATTTTAACGACGTGATTTCAGTGAATAAAAGTTACTCCACGGTGCTAGTAAATATTAATCTGGATTGCTAGACACCTCTAATCATACTCTGTACAAGTAGCATATCAGTATTTCCATAGACACACATAGTATTTTCACACATGCACAAAAGCCGATGCAGACACTCAGGTCTTTGAATCTTTGGTGTTTAAATTGTGTTTTTATTTACTTTCCACATAGAGAGTTTGCACTCCACATGTTTACTGTACGAGTTCCCGAAGCAGCTGTGTACATTTCTTTAGCCGTGTTTATAGAACAGAAAAACACAACGTGCCTTTGCTTTACTAAGGTACATACAAGAGGGATAATGTGTATAACAGTCCCCTCCACATCGCATTGTTTGACATATTCAAACATTCAGCCTTTCCAAAACATTATCCAGACCTATGACTCGTACATGACTCAGCTGAGGATGACGGCTTTTTTTGTTTTCAACAAAACCCGAGTCAGCGTTCATGTATTTGATATCAGATATATCGGTAACAGTTGCCTCTGTCTCTGAAACTGGGGTACATACAGTGCTGCTTCGCATTGGCTCGAAACCCAAAGAGAAAGTAAAATCCAAATCTTAAATCGAGGATTTGAGATAAAGAGCGTTTCATTTTACCAATTTCTACCACTGCAGTGAGAGACCTAATTTTGTGGGCACTCTGAGGTACCTTTGTGTAACTGTTGAGCTGTAGTTTATATTTAAAAAAAAAAAACACATTGCAGCTCCTGGCAGCAGAACTAATTTTACACTGTGGCTTTGCACTGACTACAGCGCTGTGTGGAAAGGTCTCTGTCTGACACATGAACCTCGTTTTTAAAGGATTATCACAGTATTTTTGGATTGACGAACCTGTACAAGCACAAACAGACTCAATGAGGCCACAGGAAAATACAACTGCAGCATTTCACACGACTGTAGTATCAGCTTCAAGTGTTATCACAAGAATAACCTTCATTTATTAATTTTGGTACAGTATACAAACTACCAAAGACACCTTAAAAATGAAAATAATGCACAAATAGTCTATTTTAACACAACACTAACATTAGCAATAAGCAACACTGACAGATAGTGGTGTTTTTTTAGAATGTACGAGATGTTTTGTATAAATCTATCTTTTATATTAATGAACTTTATGGATTTTTTTTCCTTTCGTGTGTGTGAGAGTGAGAGAGAGCGAGAGAGAGAGAGTTTTATGTGTGCCCCTGTGTGTTTGTAACTGTCATTCGTCATTTTGACTTTTTTGCTGGCAAAAGAATATCACCTTTAGCAACGGAAAGATATGATAGTAGCATTAACTATAATAGACTCAAGCCAAGTGATATATTTTGTGTACAATTTTCTACATTTTTATTCAAATGTGCTATATTTTACCAGTTCATGAATAAACATGTTTGGGATGGATGCAGAATTGTTGTTTTTTTCTGGCTGTTTACCAAACAAATCAAATGTCTTGTTAAAAATAATTTTAATTAAGATAAGAATTATTTCCAAAACTGTTTAAATGACTAAGGCTGTCAGTTATAACGACAATAATTTATTGAAGCTAATTGTTCACCTGTGGGATATGTGGACTGCCATCTCGTCAATCGTAAATTCAGAAACAAGTCAAGTACCGCAGCAGTAACGTTTGGACGTCATTAATCTTTACATATATTATTTTTTAAACACAAATTCTGCTTTAAAAACAACCTGCAATACTTTTAAAAAACGACTATTGTTGACATTAACTGTAAGTGCTGTCCGAGTTATCAACACAATTGAAGTAAGTCAATGTGCTAACTTAGGAAACTCACATAAAAACACGTGCTAGTTTTACTCACACTGAACAAGTTTTTAACATAACGTGTGTCAACAGGTACACCGCCCAAAATTTGTCAAAAAGTGTTCAAAATACACTCAGAAACAACGGCAATTCCAAATACCTTATACTGCATCTTTATCGCTGCTGGGTAGCATCTGTGATTGTATGGTAGGTAAATGCAGTTCCGAATTTCCCCCACTAGAGGGAAGTACCGCCCGAGAACAAGCAGTGATTGTCTGCAGGAGTCGTATCATTCACATTCACAACAGTGCCACTTCCTCGTCGTGAACGGTCCCCCACTCCGTGTGTTATCTGTTTTGCAGTAAATACATATTAAGCACAATACATTTTAAAAAAGAAATGGAGATAATAATGAGATTTAAAATGGATGGGAGAAAAAAAGTCGCATCAATTTGTGACTTTACGTGATCCATTGGGGCGGAAGTGAGCGTTAAGTAATGCTACACACACCCTTCCAGACTAAAAAATGAACAAGAAAAATAAAAATAAAAGTCCTTATTCCTTTTAATGCTTGAATCTTACTGGTACGTTTGAATAAAGTCATGTGACTCAAGCCTCAAGTGAAACTTAGTTTCACATGTGCAGCAGAGTAGTCTGCAGGCAAACATTTTAATTACTTGATGCATATTTAAGTGCACCCACAGTTAAGAGGCCGAACATATAGCTGTTTTGCAGTCTTTTTTTTTTCTTCTTTTCCTAACATGGCACCATTGCTATTACTTTTTACTGTGTTGGCTCATTTTGAGTTCAGAGGCCCCAGGGTGCTTAGATTATATTGGCATTTTGGTGTTGTGGCATGGCACAGCAGAGTCACAGGAGCCACTACAGTCTGGCAGTGATGTCAAAAGTTGACTCATTCGCTCCAAGTCATGGGGACATTCTCCTGATAGACTACTGTAATCATCTGAAGTCTGAAGCCCAATCTGTTTGGGGGAAAAAAATAAAAAATAAATCACGATCCCTGCGAATATTGACATTACTGGACTAATGTATTCATTCTGTCAGTCTCAATCAAAGTAGCAGTCATTTTATAATCTTTTGAAATGGAATCCCTGTAAACAAAGAAGCTTTAGGGCCATTCAGCTTCTCTATGGCAACACATTTCTTAATTTGAACAATTGCATTTTATTGTTTTTTACAAACACAAATTCAATAGGGTAGCACATGTCCTAAAATAAAAACGAAATTTAAAAAAAATCTGTATTTTTAGAATTCGCAGTGAATAAAAATTGAAAAAGATGATTTTTATCCACAGCCAAAAAAACAAGTGGCATTAAAACCAAAAAATAAAATCCTGTAATCATTTGGTTCGTCTATCAGTAGGTCAACCAGTGACAGGTGTCAGTATCAGGACTGGACATAAAGCAAGCTTCTACAAACAGTTCTGTCTTTGTAAACAGTAACATTTGTGAACTTTTGCTGAACTTTGTGAACGTGAAATTATTTGACATTTTTTCACAATTTAACTCAGGCCTCAGTCCACATTTCTCCCCGTAGACCGTGTCTCATGTGCTACAAATGTCTTGTGTAGACTGAAGAATAGAATCAGAAAATAAAGACCAACAGACTGTTGAAGTCTCCGGGTCTAAAAACAGACACCACATAGATTAACATTTATTTGCAACTTGGATCATTAGTTCACAAATGATTAAAATGCGTCATCGAGAACAAACATTTGGTCCCAGGGGTCGACTTGTCTTTGTTCTGACGAGTCGTTTAATTATAAACAAGTGCAACTTGTTCTCTGAACTTTGACCTGATAAATAAAGGTTTGAGTGGGTTGCGCTTTTTAGAGTCGACTTTTTCATTAAATGTTTTTATCAGATTCAAAAAAGGTTTTTATTGATTGATTCACTGCTGCTGCAGGGGCATTCCCAGATTAATGAAAATGAGTTAGTGAGGATTTACCACAAGTCGTGTAAATATTCTCATCCTCCTCAAAGCCAGCAATTACGAATAAACCTAAATCATGTTAGATGTTAACCCTTCGTTTACCTCATCACGTGACACGTTATGAATCTCTAAAGGTGAAATCACGCCGACCTTCACTGTTTCTCCCCTAAACACTTTCCTTTTGTCTCCTGCCTCGGGCCCAAATGATTATCATGCAAAGTGATCAAAGTTGCAGAGACAACGAGGGTGTGTGTGTGTGTGAGAGAGAGTGAGAGAGTGAGACAGTGTGTTTGTGTACATACACTCATACTTCAGACGTGATCTTCAACAGTTGCGTGTCATTTTCCAGGGTAAAATGACATGACAGAGCCGCGGCGGTCTCCCTTTTTATTCCCTGCGTCCTCTGTCAGGTAACAAATGGAAATACCAAAATAAGGAGTGAGTTTTTCAAATGCAAAGAAGTGAAGCAGCATAATGACTTTTCTCTTTTCTTGTCCTGCCATTCAGGGGGGAGGCTTTTCTTTTCCTTTGTCACTTAGGTTGGCATATAATTAACTCCTGCTTAATATGCTGTTTAAGGGCTCTCCTCCCCATGCAAGGAGCTTTGAACCCATAGACCACAGACAGGGACAAAACCCCAGTGGGACTGCTTCCTCCGTGTGTGTGTGTGTGTGTGCGTTTGTGTGTGTCCGTGCGTGTGTGTTGGCGGAGGAGAGAATAAGTTGTTATTTCTAGAAGACGGTGGAGAAAAGCTACACCGCCGCAGCACTTTGGCGTCCTTGCTACAAAAAAGAAAAGCGGAAAACAGATGTGAGGACTTCAACCGATGTGAACAGCGGTCTGCACATCAGTCAGTGACAAATGTGGAGTTTTGATGAATATGAACGGCACGCGTCTGTACATAAAGTTTAAAGACGTAGTTTAAAAAAAAACGAAAGAAAAAACAGGTCCCAGGACCTTTGAGGAACCTCTGTACCTCACTGACCCACCCTCATCAATAACAAAGTTTATTGCCCCCCCCCTCTCCTCACCCACACCTCCACTCTCCTCCCTTTTCTATCCATCCCACCACAAAGGATCCAGGATGACCCCTCTGTTCCTCTCTCTTTTCTTCAGCTCTCCTCTCCCTCCCTCCCCACCTTTAGGATGCTTTCTCTTCCAGAATCCGTTTAGGGACAACTAACTGCCCCTCCCTCCCCCTCTTTCCCAGTTGTCAGGATGGCTGAAGGAATGAAGGGGGGAGGAGGGCAGGCATCTGACATTTTTTTTTGAGCCGAAGATGCAGGGGAATGAAGGCTTAAATGAAAGTGTGATGTCAGGGGGCGGTAAGGAACGTTTTTTTATTGGGTGGAACTATGTAAACAGAACTGGACGGTCAAAGATATCAAACCAGGTGCGAGGACCAAGATAAGGTAAAACGACGGTCCACCTAAAGGAGGGAGGAACACCTAGTGATCGACTTTGTCAGTGTCAAATTATCTGACTTTTTTTTTTTTTACAATTTTCTCAGAAAGTAAGATAGCGAAACAAGTCTGACCTTTCACCTCGCATAGTGAATGTTGAGAAAACGTTCAGATGTTTAAAAAATATACATAGCTTGTGCCCAAAGACTGATTCATTTTCATGGCTAAAGAAAGACGTCAAAAAAAATGCCAAAGAATTACACAATATTCATCAACTTGTACGATGAGTTGACTGAGGATTAAAATCAGACCTATACAAATAATTTAATACTTTTTTAAAAAATGAGACTGATATAAAATTTTTGTTCTGATTCTTTTTATCAATATATATATTTTTGAAAAATATATTACTATATCTATTTCTTAAACTTAAGTAGATTTTTCCCATTTTTCGTCGCATATTTTTTTCTATGAGAAACTGTAACAACAACACTTTCCCCCTGGGGATCAATAAAGTATTTCTGGTTCATATTGATGATGTTTTGATTGGGTGAAACTATGTAAACAAACTGATAAGAGTCGGGGGTTTTTTTCTTGTTTTTTTTTTTTTTTGTCGGAATGTTAAGTTTTCTACAGGACGGTGCAGATAATGTAGAGAAAACGAAAACAAAACAAAACAAAACAAAAAAAAAACAAAACAAAACCGAAACGGCGTCTTTGACGTGTTCTTGTATTTACTCTAATCTCCGCTGTGTCCCACATTGTTAGTCCGTTAGCGGGACACACTGTGCGCTTTTATTATCTCGCACAGTCGCCGAGAGGCGGGGGGGCGCTGCAAAAAAGCCCAAAGGTGGGGGTCCTGGAGGCTGCGTTAGAGAGTTCTGTGTCGGATGTTTTTTTCAGTTGCAAAACAGATTAATGCACAGGTTGCAACACAATGGAGCGTCAACGCACCATTTCCTACAGCCATCCAGCGGTGAATGGGCCCCGGAGCAGGGGTCCACTCCAGGACACTCGAGCGCAGGTGCGACGTGCATAACAGTCAGGTCATAAAACACGGAGAAGAGGAGAAGAGGAGAGGAGTGGGTAGGAGGGGAGAGGAGTGGGTAGGAGGGGAGAGGAGAGGAGAGGAGAGGAGGGGGGGCGAGTATACCTGTATCCATTAAGCAACAATCACCGCTAATCCTCGAAGTGACATTGTAGCAGTGATAGATAGCTAGTTAGCCACATTTCACGCTAACTCACAACTTTATCCATAAACAAAACTTAAATAAGACCAGTGAACCTTGGTCGTGTGTCCCAGCCCAGTCTTCTGTTCGTACATGTCTTAGGTTTAAAAGTCTTCTCTGGTCCTCACTCTTCAGTTCAACACCCTGGTTTTTCAATCTACGGCCAATCAGAACGTTTGAACTCTTCCTCAGTTCCACTGTACTTTTTGGGGTTTTTTTTGGTCCATGTCTATGACACAGATGTGCTACCAACTTTTGAGGTTTTTCTTTTTTTTCTTTTTTTTTTAATGTCACCCTTATGTCTGGTGAGCATTGTTTTCCACCCACAGGTGTCTTGGCGGTTATCAGTCATTCAGAAACATTTCTTAGCTTTCTTTTGAGAGTTTTTTTTTTTTTTTTGTTCTTTCTAAAAGTATCTCACTAATTGATACTCAGTCCTTCAAGACACGTAATTCAAGATTTTTTCTTATTGTTTAAACCCAGGGACGTTACCAGCGATAACATCGATCTTAGTGTCGCAAACTTTGGCATACACATAACACAAACCAAAGATAGAGTGAAATAGCAGACCACAACAGTGTAATGTGTACCACAGAAATATAAAATGAATAAACAATTGTTCTAAAAAGTGACTCTGCGTTTTGGTTTTTACTCCCATTCTTATATTTACTGTACATAGTTTGAGTAATCCTGTGTTTTTCTGTGACTAATTGCTACCTTAAGTTGTTAGATTTCGGACCTCAGCTAATTTCAGGCTGTCTATCCTGGCCTATTTCGCTGTTACTTCACACTTATTGCACCCAGTCCCCACAGCTACGGAAGCCCAGATGGACACTTTGTCATTGTGATTTTTTTTTGCTAAAAGTTTAAATATATTTCCCTTTTTTTTTGCTAAAAGTTTAAATATATTCCCTTATATTTATATATATTTTCCCTGCTGATTTCTGACAGCGGTCAGATCTTATTATTAGACTTTTTTTTTTCCATTTCAGTAGAAGCCTTAGAGACAGATGATGATGATGATGATGATGATGATGATGATGAAAAAGTTAGTCCCCTCAAATTACTGCCCAGTAGTAAATGATGAAGGTGGATGTCCACGGTGCCAAAAAGTGACCTCAGGGCAAACCTCTGCTGCCGCTGCTGCTTCTGCTGGCGCTGCTGCTGCTGCTGACATCCCTCCTCCTCCTCCTCCTCCTCCTCCTCCTCCTCCTTTACCAACACCACCATCTCCTCCTCCTCCTCTGCGCTCGTCGCCTCTGCTTGGAGTCCCATCAAGGTCTGAGTCTCCCGCTGTGACCGAAGGCGATGCGTCCTCAGCAGTCATTGTCAGGCAGGAGCACAGGACAGGCACACACCGCCGCACCGGCACCGGCAGCGCTGCTCGACCGCGGACAACTGTGAGAGGAAAAGAAAAGCCGAAGG